AAACAAACAAACAAACAAACAAAATAAAACAAGAGCTGCGGCAGCGATCAAAACGACAAGCAGGGCATGCGACTTCAAATGTTTCCTCCAGTCTCCATGTCCGATTTGCACGTAAATCCTACCGTTCGACATGGTCCTGCTCTGGATGCTGGGGCTCATGGGTCCCCCACCCTTGCTGGTGTACGCCTGCACACGGATGTCATAGGTGGTGTCGGGGTTCAGGCCCCCGATGGTCATGCGCGTGTCACCCGTGCGGTTGGTGCTGTTCTGCTGGCTGTTGATGTCGCGGTAGACCACCACGTAGTAGGCGATCTTGCCGTTTCTCTCGGCCAGCAGCGGCGGGTCCCACGTCAGCTGCGTGCTGGACTGAGTCAGGCCCGTCACCTGCAGGTTCAACGGGAACCCCGAGGGCACGTCCTCAGGAGTGCCGATCTCCTTGGTGTAGGCCTCGCCCACGCCGGCGCGGTTACGGGCACTGAGGCGGAAGACGTAGGTGGCGCCCTTGTGCAGTCCCGTCACCGTGTAGTGGTCATCGGTGTTGCGCAGTTCACGCGACGTGTACGCGTCGTCGTCGGCGCGCTTGTACTGTAGCAGATATCCCATCAGCTCGCCCACCATATCTTTGGGAGGCTGCCACTGGATGAGCGCCGTGTTGCCCATGGTGGCGCTGATCATCATGGTGGGCTTGCCGGGCACTGGAATCACAATCACAGACTGTCACGTCTTTGGCTAAAACGGCTTTCATTTGCACTCAAAGACAAACTGCACTTGAGTATATACTCCGGTTTATTCGCAGAAACGTTCCAGTCTTGCTCACGCATATAAAGAAAAAAATGGCGCACCGAAGGTAAATGAACTCTCTAGATTTGACAGGACAAAGAGTCAAACGTACTAATACAAAATGAGAAGACTTGGAAGGAGCTGCTGTGGACCACAACTCAAACCCAGACGCTCGCACGCAGACTAACTCACGTGGCCACGCCCCCTTGAAGCACACATCCAACAATGCCCTTTGGAAAAGCAGTTTATTTCTTTCCACTCTCTTATGTTTTGTTATGTATTCATGCAAGGGCATTTCGGTCAACAATTATACTGTTAAAACCAAACAAAAACACGAGAGACGTTCAATACTCGAATGGAGGAACACTGTGTTCACCTGCTCCGGTGGTGGTGACCAATTTCGGTTTGCAACGAGGTCCGTCTCCCCTGGTGGTGTACGCCGCCACGGC